GCTAGTCTGGGAAACTCCATGAGACTTTGTCTCAAGATGGCTCAGCAAATAAAAGCACTTTGCCGCAGAGCCTGGGTTCGTTCAGTCCCGGAGCCAACAGGATGGAAGAAGAGAATTGACTCCCCAGGGATGTCCTCTGATCACTACATGGCCCCTCTGTAAACAAACAAAAACTGCCGAGAGACAGCCCAGCAGTTAAGAGCGTGTACTGTTCCCGCAAAGAACCTAAGTTCAGTTTCCAGGACCCTAGTCAGGTGGCTCACTGTTAACTCCCCGCTCCAGGGGATCTGGTGCCGGGAAATCTGGCGCCCTCATGTGGCCTCCATAGGCACCTGCGTTCATGTGCACATACGCACACAGAGAGGCAGGAAAGGTGGATTGGAATGGAGGAAGGTCAGTGTAGGAAGCTGAGGTCAGTGTAGGTAGCTGCAGGCTGTGGGCAGAGAGGCAAGCGTCCTTGACCCACACAGAGTTCTGCATGTATCCTCTGCAGGGCCAAGGGGTTTGGGTGAGGGCCAATGTGGCCGGCTGTCCTGCGTCAGCAATTTTCCCAAAACAACAGTGTTTTAAAGAGAAAGCCTGACGATGGGAGAAAGGCCCACAGCTGAGTGTACCCTGGAGAGGCAGCTGGACGTGGCGGGGCAAGGCTCTTCTGCAAGGTACTAACTCGGGCAACTGCAGAGTCAGCCTGAGACATCACCAGGCGGTCGAAGGCCAGTGGGAAACCTAGGCATGCCTTGAGCAAGCCTCCTGATGGCTCAGAGCAGCAGGCGGAGCAGAGTTCTGTTGCAAACGCGGATGACAGACCCGCCTGGAGGTGTGAGTGTATGTCAACACGGTGAAATGACATTCTAGGTGTCTAACAAGTACTGCTCCCCCGCCGTCACAAAAGTCAGGGCCCAGGACATTATTCAGAACAGGGTGAAAAGGCACAGAGACGTTAAGGCGTTTGCCTGAAGTTGCCCAGCAGGGAACTGGCAAAGCCAGGGTTCAAATTTAGAATGCCGCCCCCACCCCCAGGCCCAAGCCCAGAGACTATTCAACTCTTTCACGATATTGACCATGACCCTATAGGAACATCCACCTCATCTCTCTCCTCCAGGGAGACGGCAAGCATGTGAGAACCCCGGGCACAGCTCAGCTTAGAAAGGGACGCCAGCAGAGGCCTCATCCGAGGCCCAGCCGCAGCCCCTGTACTGTCCCAGAAGAGCGGGCCGTGCATCAAAGTCCGGGGCAAGAGCCAACAGCTGCTTTGTCTGAGGCCAGAACTTCGTCCGAGCCACATTGCAGAACACGCCCCGAGCGGCTCGACGCCTCTTCCTTGGAGCCTGGTGCCGAGTGTCGTGAAGGTCACCAAGGCCCAGGCTCCTTCTCCTACTTCCGTCCCAGGGCCCATCCGGAGCCTCGAGGGAAGCCCACGCAGCTTGAACTTTGGCACTCGTGGCCCTGACGTCTATCGGAATACTTCCTCCCACTCCTGCAGCCGGGTGGGAGCCAAGAGAAAGGTAGGTAGGGACACAGGGACTCTGTCTGGAAGCCGCCATAGAATAAATCACCTGGCCACCCCTCCCCTACCAAGCTCCCTGTTTTTTTCCCTAGGTCCAACTTCCCACTTCCCTAGCTAGCCGGGGACTGTCAGCATGGCCCGCAGCAACAGGCCGGCTACCAACCACGGCCTTGAACAGAGCACGGTTTCCTCTGACCTTTGTGGTCTTTAAAGAGAAAATAAAGCATGGGGGTTGGCAAGATGGCTCAGTCGGTAAAGCCCTTGTTGCCAAGCCTAATGGCCCGAGTTCAACCCCTGGGCTCTACCCGGTGGAAGAAGAAAACCCGACCCTTGCCAGTTGTCCTCCGACCTCTACTCGTGTGTGTGTGTGTGTGTGTGTGTGTGTGTGTGTGTGTGTGTGTGTGTGTTCCCACCCCCACACACAAATAAACAAATACATGTAACTTTAACAAAAGAAAAGATGGGCCACGCATGGTGGCGCATGCCCATAATCCCAGGACTGGAAGCAGAGGCAGAAGGATTGCCCAAAGGTTTGAGGCTAGCCTGGGTTACAGGTGTGAGACCCTGTTTCAAATGACGATGATGATGATGGTGATGAGCTGGGCGTGGTGGCACAGGCCTTTCCCAGCACCCCAGAAACAGAGGAAGGTGGATCTCTGTAAGTTCAAGACCAGCCTGGTCTACATAATGAGTTCCAGGATTATATAGAGAGACCCTGTCTCAAAAGACCAAAATAATAATAATAATGATGATGATGAAATAAAATAAAAGGGAAAGAGAGAAACCCAAGTAGCTGAAGATCCAACAATCCAAGAGTTGTTAAATTTACCCTGATGAGCTGCCTCCTTTCTCCTCAAGAAAGGCTGGAGCTAACGCCAAAGGAAGCATCCCAAATACAGAACCACGAAAGGGGGTGATTGGGTGCTAACCAGGGGCCAAGGGTTCCTTCCCCACGCGGGCTACTGTCACAGGACACCACTCCATTCCGACCTGAGTCCTCAGAAGAGGGCTCCTCTTACACAGAGGAATGGGTTTTTTTTCCCTTGGTGCACAGTGATTGGTCCAAAGAGAAGCACGTGACCCAATCCCAGCCAATCAGAGGCAAGGGACTGTCAACCACCGCGTCTCCCGGCCCTGGGCATCATTGCTTTGATTTGTTTTGTTTCGTGTTTGTTATTTGTGTGTACGTAGGAGTTAGAATGTGTTACCTGCACGGAGGGCAGAGGACAGAGGACAGCTCGAAGGAGCTGGTCCTCTTCTTCCACCACGTGGGTCCCAGGATCAAACACCCGTCAACAGGCTTGGTGGCAGGCATCTTTACCCACTGC